AATCTAAATGTACCTGTTATTGCCATCACCAATTCCACCCCTGAAAGTATTAGGCATTTAGTCAACTTCCTAGATGGTTTTTGTATATTCTGGTTTGTAAACAAAATAAAGAACTTGGTTTAAGAAAGGGTTGTTGCTACCTTATACAGATGCATTATAAGAAGACTACAGCAGAAAAGTATTCCTTGGGAGAACGCTCAAAACATAAAGATAATGTATAATGAGGAAACCGCACAGATACTTTTTCCTGTTTACAGCTCCAACCAAAACTAAAGACAGAGAGAGTAGCATTGAAAGCCATTTTGATAAGCTCTTACAGGAAGGAGACCGATGCTTATTAACCACCTCCAAAAACAGGTAGCACAAATATACGTTGCCAAAAGGATTCCGTATGAAAGGAAAGATGAGCTCCTACGCTTTATTGCACACTTCAACCCAAGACAGTGAATAGGGGAGCAGCAGGAAAAAGGAGTATTATCGGCTATCGAGTTTGCAACCATACCCCTAAATTGGCGTAGTGAAGTAATCAAAACCATTAATGACTCACTAATTCAATTGCGTGGACTCAGATGTGACTCTTCCACAGGACAGGGAGGCCTATTTCCTTGGGGATTCTTGCCAATCAAGAAACAATCTCATAAGAATCCGGAGTGGTTGAATCTCAGTCAGAGCTCGCCAAGCTACGTAGTTAAGTAGTGCTAAAGGGCTGCTTGGCCCGGAGTAAGGTATTCAGGGCGGTAGGAAAGCAACTACGGTCTCTAGTAATAGCGCTTTATTGCAGGGCAGTCGAACAGGTCATTCTGCAGCAGCAGGGGCTCCTTCGTATTATTTAGAACTTGTGCTCTGATTATTCTGATTATTCGACTGTGTTCCTTGATACCGTGCTTCTTCTTGATACTTTAATAACGGCCAAGTCCTGAGGAACGTCGACTTTCTAGTATTTCTCCCTACAGGGGTAGGAGGTCCGTTTTCATCTGATTCATTGAGTTGATTGAACCTTGCGGGCGGCTTTGAAGCTGACTGAGCCAAATAGCCGATATTGCGCACTCGTGCTTCTTAAAAGAAAGGCCTCTCCCCCTTCGATCCAACTGCTGCTGGCAATGTCAAAAGCAATCCCGGCTACACCTACTAAGCCGATAGCTGCCATCAAAGGGAGGGAACGAGTGATCCAATATCCATCTTCTCTGGCCGAGCCAATCAATCTTTTGGAAGTGAAAAGCACTCCCTCTCTTCGTCTCCCAAACCTAGGTCTCTCTCTTCTAGTCCCTCATACTCCACGGTAGGTGAATGCCATCCAGCTTACTCCAATTCATCAATTTCTCTTCCCTGGGACCTATGAACCAACGAACAGCAGCGAAAGGAAATGATTTGTTAACCAATTACTGATAAAGAATCTTCGAATTCTCAGAAGTGCGATCGATCTCTCTTCTCTGCATCGTAATCCACAAAATAGGCATACGAGAATATGCGTCATCCATGATCTGAATCCACTGAGGCATCCAAATCTTTATCCCTCCTTCCTAATAAACGTGCCTCAGCCTCAAGCATTGATCCTTTGCTTAGATTTCCTTAGGCTGCTATGAAGACTTGTGGAGAAGTGCAGGACCCACCTGATCCAATAACAGTTTTCAGACGGATGTAAAGAATCTTCCAGTTAACCAACCGTCATGAGTCTACAATGTGTCTCCATCACTGACGATGGCAAGGTATACCATATACTTAACCACTTGCTCGACTCCTCTTGGCAGCCTTCTTAAAGTAGGCTTCTTTCTTCGCTAACGCTTGGGAATTCCTAGAGTGAGTTCGATTTATAGCTTTTTGATAGTTCGTAACGCTGCGAGCGAAGAATCGCACATGTAAAGGTGGGCGAAGACACTACACCTGACCTTGGATAGGGGCTTTCTACTGAAGGAAGACTGTTGATCTCTTCGCCGACTCTCCTGTTGCAAACCAACTTGTTTCATATTTCGAACTAGGGTTCCCTTTTTTGTGTAAAGTGAGTCTGAACACACTTCATAACTTCCTGTTGCTGAAAGCAACCTATTCCCCAGAAGCTTCAAGAAATATACGCTCATACTGCTTAAAGAAATATACGCTCATACTGAATAATGACCCCCCAACATTGATATAGTTAACCTCAACACGAGCTCACTTTTCAGTGTATTCCTGAAAGAAGCGACAAACTGACTCCATGGAGGTTCAAAAAGCATTTAACGCCACACTTTTTTCGTTAAGATCAATCAGTTCCTAACCTAATTAGGATATGTTTAAGCTGGGTAGTGGGCGATAAAGTAAGGAGCCTCTGCCTGATGAACCGCGCTAAGTGTGCTTTTCAGGTGTCTTTTAGTTTCGATTATGAGCCAACCTTTTCTGATCCTAGTTCATAGTAGGGCAAAGAGGCGTAGGACTCGATTCTTATGATATGTATTCGACTTGTCGGGTTCTTATGGAAAAGTGCATTTTCCTTCTTTCTGAGTAGTCCCATTCTGGTTTGGATGCAGATTCTACTGAAACATCGCCTGATGCTGAGGAATAAAGATCTTTTGTTTCAAGAGAACCGGGAAAAGCTGCTTCACGCTCTTGCCTCGGTTGCTTCGCAAGCTCGCTTGCTTTGCTCTAAGTTGACCTCTTACCTTTTCCAGAGAAAATCCTAGACCCTGGTTTACTAAAATAGTTGCTCGTATTTATTTGAGAAAGAAAAGTCCTGGCGCCTAAGGCTTTTTGGTCGACTCGACGGTAGTAGGTGGTGCTGCTGACTTTATGATTCGGCTTTTTGTGCCTTCACACTCCTTGGCGAACTGGAACTTTGTTGGAAAACGAAACTGGCTCGAGCTACGAACGGCATTTGCTTGCGGCTTCTGATTGGACTTCCGCTTTTGGCGATAGACCATATCAAAACCCTTCGTCGAAAGGGGAGGAATTAATATCCAACTTGTAACCCTTCCTTGTGCGCGGCATTACGTGAGGGCGGCTTAGCACCAGCTTTTCCTTCCCCACCCTCCGAAGTCACCCGTGAATCTACCCTTCTGATCTTACCACCGAACTGACCTTCAGCCCTATTCCAAACCTTTTCCGATTCGACGTAATGGTGGTTTTCAATCTAGTGGTAATGGTGGTTTTCAATCGAGTGTTGAGTAGTAAGGCTTTCACCCTATTTGTTATGGATTGGATGATGGGCAAGTCGGGTCTTGCCTACAACGAAAGGGCACCGCTATGTAAAGGCAAGGTTTGCTCCAGAAGAATGGTCCGACCTACCGTTCGCTTTGCTAAAGCAGTACTACCAGGATCTGGGCAGTCAGCCCTCACCGATGTGAGTTACAGTTCTTTCATGCAATGCATAACGGGCGGGCCTCAAGTGTATTCCTTTCCTCCAACTCAATGAATTCAGGGAGGAAGGAAGGGTTGTTCCTTAATTCTATATGAAGATTCAAACAAAAAGAGAAAGGGTAAAACCCACCATATCTGACTGAATGAGGAAGAGCTCCTTATCTTATGTGGTCTCACTTTACCACCATAAGAAATGCGCGAAACTTCGGGAAGCATATATCCGATTATCCCTTTGATTACGAAGCATATATCCGATTATCCCTTTGATTACGAAGCATATATCCGATTATCCCTTTGATTACGTGCTATTCCCCTCTTTCCATCTTTCCTTTCAAACTAGCTATTCCCCTCTTTCCATCTTTCCTTTCAAACTATTAATAGCTTATTGAACTTATTTTCTCATAGCTTATTGAACTTCTTTTAGGGTCTCGCTCCCAGCCCAGAGTTAAAGAGTAGAAACTATCGCGTCATACGGCTCCTTCCCGGAATCCCCTTTGACCAACGGGTCCTCGAACCAAGCGGTCTGGCCTACACCTACCTACATGAACCCTCCGTCGGGTATAAATAGTCGTTTGATCGGATTTGGAAATTCCATCCAGAACCCCGAGAGTTCGTTCTCATTTGCAATGGAGGCCTGTTTACGAGCAAGGAATTTAGGATCCCCCACCAAACCCGTTCCACTAGAAGTTAGTATATCTGCGGCTCACGTCCTCTGGCTCGTGCACCGGATTCTTTCTAGTCCTCACGAGGTGGTCTCTCTTTGATCATTCCCTGTGTGAGAACTCTGAAAGGGTCCGCTCTGTGGCGCGAAACTGTCTCGAGGTCATGAGATTGCGCTCCCACTCCTCCCTTTTGTTTCTTTCTGGTTTTTCGAGTTCATCCCAGAGAAGGCCCTGTAGGTTTTGATTCTGGAACAACCTCTGAAGTATAAGGGTATGCCAGCGTTTGTTGTTGATATGGGTCAATTTGGTTAAGCTACATCCATTTGCGAATAGGATCTTTTATGTAGCCCAACTCATAGAGAGTTCTTTCACTTGGTCTTAACCTATTTCTTCTATTCCTATGATTGTTCAGTGATGGGTTTTCTAGGATTAGGTTTCTATCCCATATCGTATTGTGCTAAGCTCATTTCGATTATTAGGTCTGACCTTTTTGACTCTGTGGACGTTCAGATTGCATACCAGGCAAGTCATTCATTATCCACACATATAATACATCTTTCATATAGGATGATCTTATAAAGCACCTAAGTGTTGGACATTTGCATTATACAGGTAAACACTATATCCTAGAAAGAGACATTTGCATTATACAGGTAAACTATATCCTAGAAAGATGCTGGCAAATCGCTCTAGGTAGAACCTACCTCGGAAAACCACTTTAGAAGAAAACAATTACTGCAGATCGACATCGGAGGTGGCCCCAACCAAACCTAGGCTGCGACGCTTCCTGTTGAGTACACAATTCCTACTTGAAGTTCGTTTACACAGTACGAGAAAGACAATCATCAAGAATGGGACTAAGAGCCACTTTTCATATTCTTTAATATAGCAATAGCATCAACATGACAATAACATTACAAAGCGATATAGGCATTTATACCATCCATCAACCGAGAAAGAAACCTACGTTACACTAACAGGAGCGCGCTTCTTTCTTTATTCGAAACTCACTTACATGCAAAAATGCACCCACATATCAAAGTGGTCTGCTCATTATTAGTGTTCTTTTCACATTTATTCATTATTGATTGCAATACTAATAACACCTAAACTAGACTAGTATAGTTATGGAGGGGATTCGGATGGAACAAGGCGTTTTGAACCATATGTTGCTGGAATGAAACGCTGCCTCGGAACTTCATTATTATGCTTGCTGGGCCCTTATGGTGTAACTGGCATTTCGTAGGGCCCCCCTTTGCGGCAGAGTGGGCAGCATTGCTTTCCCTCGTGTAGCTATGATGCCATTCAGAAACAACACACCACAATAATCTGAATCCAAAGCAGTATTTCGTCTTGCCATCACTGGAAAACAAATAGAGCTGTAGGCATCAAGGTAAGGGACCGAGATTCTATACTGCTGAAGAAGCCGAAAAGATATAGGTGGGGTTGGTTTTAGGGTCAGGATAGCAGACAGGTTTCGGGTCCTTTGGATCATGGGCCACAGCTACTTGGGTATAGACCGCTGAACATAATTTTCACAGGCCGAGGCTATATGATATGGGCTTAGGGCGTTTTTCTGGCTGTCATTTTCTGGGCCATTTGGAAGGGTTCACCAATTTCGGATATAATATGTCAAAAAGATCGGATGGTTCCTGCTTGTTGGATAAGGAAGGTTCCTAGCCGTGCTAAAGGACATGCTACCCCCCGTGCTAAAAGACATCACCCGCCTTATAACCATCAATGACCGCCGTCTCGTCTAGGCTATAGTTTCACAATTGGATTTTTTGATGTGCAAGACAGGTCCAATTCCATTTCATGGTTCTCTTAGCCTCTACCTCCACTAATATCCCTACCTTAGGGCAACTCGAATAGAAAGCGGGTTGGTTTACAACATAATAGAAAGCATGGGAGTAGTTTCAACCTTTAGCTCCAAGGAACTCTACACTTTCTCCTTAGGTATACCCCTGTGTGAAGGAGCAGTAGAGAAAGCAGCTTAGGAGTAGACGGCACCGGTGCAATTCTGTCTCAAATCCAGCAGGGGTTAGTGAGCGGAACGAGTCGTTGCATGGCTGAAAGAATTCGTTTACTTTTTGGAGTCCAGCTCCCCTTTCTTTCCCAGAGCCCTGTAAGCCCTTCTGTCCAGCTTTGAGCCCTATACATATCGATCCAGACCCTTCCAATATGCTTCAAACGCTTTTCTTTTTCCAAAATACCAAAATACAGGACTTCCTCATTCTCATTTCATTAGTCAAGTTGCAAACCACTCATTCTCATCAGATCAACCCCAATTGACATATGGAACGAAACCCACCCGACTATATTGATGGAACGAAGCTACCTCACTATATTCTCTATTTTGTATCAATATCATAGGTAGAGATCAATAGCATAGGTAGCGCAATTCACTTTACCAAGAATACTCAGAAGGATACTCAGAATTGGGTAAGAATCAGGATACGTCGCGGAGGGTAATAATCATAGGTGTTTTGTCGAGTTATGAAATCTTTCTTATTATGTTATGCGCGCGCACACTACTTATTTGTTTGTTTCATTTTCTAGTGTTATTTGACTTTCTTCTATATGTTGTGTAGCTACCTTAAATTCCATTCAATTGGAGCTGGTGGCTTCACACTCTCCCTACTATGTTACGCTCCCTCTACTATATTGATTGCAAGGTAAAGTAGAAAGTATTGATTGCAAAGTCAAGTATCCAGTTTCAAGTCCAACTCGACAACTAAGGTCAAGTTCAAGGTGCTTGCTAAGGCAATGATATAAGATCTTTTTCTCATGTTACAGGCGCAAGCAAGGTAGATTGCATTGATTTCGAAAGTCAGGAAGGAGAGACAGTATGTTTACCATATACTATGTCCGTAAAGAATGGGTGTTTCTTCCGTTGTGTTGTATGTTGAGTTGCAATGTTTTAGTGCCGTTGCTTGTTCACTTGCTGTTTGTTTCAATTGAATATATCGAGCACAATATGGAATGTTGTAAAAACACTTAATTAAAGACTCTGTCTTCCTTCTGTAACTAAACCCCCACCGCTAATTCTTATTGCCCAGTAGCCCAGAGCATGTCCTAAAAGTAAGCTAATGCATCCCTGGCCTTATAAGTCATTCGCTAAAATAACTCCTTCGCGCGGAAAGGTAAATAGAATATAGGCGCGCACAGTTCCATACTGACAATAATTGTAAGCGGCACGACACAGTGAATGTTGGTGAGCCTGGCACGTACCTAACGCTATGATAAACCACTTAGGAATCACTCGTATTAATGTAAGAATTCTGACTGGGGTTATAACTCGTATTAACTCATAACTAACTGACGCGCAGCACAGATAAAAGACTTGTGATTAACTTAACCATATTGATTGGAGTCCCTCCTTACTATCTTTGCTTCTAGCCGCTGCTTGTTGGGTTCCTTACTATCTTTCTTTGCGTCTGTATACGTGACTTGTTGGGTTTATAGAAGAATATATTACAGGCTTTGAAGCAAGGTGAAGTGGGCCAAGCAACTACTAGTAGCATTAGGTTCATACCGACCCTACTTCTTTCTTTAGTTTTAGCACCCGACCTCCATTACAAGGGGAAAGAAAGTACTATAAGGGCCCGACCTCTATTTATGACACTTGCCTCTCCTCTCTTGCTACTAGCCAATCTCTCTCCTCTGTAAACTATCATACCTCTCCTCAAGCTACTACTATTGGGCTGGGCTCGCTTACCAAATCATTCTACTAGTTACTCAGAGGCAAGCAATTACTTATGAGCAAGTCCAGCTTTCGGCGTCAGTTAATAGTTGTTCGTGTGCGTCAGTGGTTGCGCGGCTGGAGCGGTTCATCACTTGATGCTTGCGCTGAAGTGCCAACGTTAGCGGAATCTATTGATCGGCAAGGAAAACAGCAATTGACTCTTTCGTATCGAGCACCAAAACCGTAATTGACTCTTTCGTATCGAGCACCTGGGATGGATCTATAAGTAAAGACATAGCTCTTCCCTTTCTTATTCCCCCACTCGACCTCTACTTTGAGTTCAGAATGACATAGATGGATGAGCCGCAAGCGCACCCTCACTCTACTTTCATTGCTACACACAAGCAATTCCCTTAGCGCACTTGTTCTTACCCCAAAACTTCATCTTTCGAGCTTGTTTCTAGAAGTAAGTATCCAAACCAAGATCTATACCCGACAAACACCCAACTCGTTTGCTCCTTAGAAAGAGGGGAGGCCCTTACTACCTTTAACTGGAAGGGCAGTAGTACCAGCTATGTCCCTTAATGCCCCGCACCCGGCTGTAGCTCATAGAAGAATTTGGTCACTAGTTATTCATAGGCTTAGCTCCCGGCTACAAAAATGGAATTGGTTATGATCCTACTCCATATATTACTTTATATATATTGCATAGATATTTGGAATGTGACTATTCTTATGTAGGTGTAACTCCAAGTAATAAGTAATAATTTTCTAAAGAAAGTAAGATTTGACTGTTCCGCGAAAGTAAGATGTTTTGTCGACGAGGTGGTGAGTAAAGAAGCCTTATGATGCTGTTAATGTAGGTAGAAAGGAAGCCTTCAGATGCTGTTAAGTAGAAAGGTTCAGTAGGGCTGGGCTCTGTAGCTCCGTAGCGTAAAGAGGCGAAGAGTGGGTAACAAATGGATTCTTTCCTTTTTGATACCGCAGATCAGATTCAAGAGAAAGAAGGAGCAGCTATTGCTTCTGTTGGAAGAGAAGAGTGAAGCGCATGATAGGAATAGCGGGTTTCATAGAGATGACATCACAATAGGATAAAGATGAGACTCATTATCTGCCCTTTCACGTAGAAATGGGATAATGTCGAAATTAGAAGAAAGGTAACTGACTTGTGAGTGTGAGAGGAATTACTTGCTACTGCTTTGATCCCACAGTGCATCTCGTATATAGAAGTCTTGAGTTAGTGCATCGATGCCTGGGCTACAGCATCTAGTAAAGCAGAATGAAGACCAAGCCAATCGCCTTTAGAGTCTAGTCTAGTACTTCTAAGCTATGCCAAAGTCAATTAGTCCTGCAACTCCCCTAGCAGCACATGAATGCACAGAGAAAGCCCTCTCCAGGACAACCTCTAGCGTAGAAATACTCCAGGACATCTTCTAGCTTCAGTCGTTAGCGCAAGCACCTGCTCCATCCTTGACTTGATGAACGCGGACCAATAAGGTAAAGTCTCTGTAAGCTGTTGATAGGCAACTGAATCAAGTAACCAAACAAACAAGCAGATCCTGGTTTTTCTCGTTATAACCGCCTCTTGCTCCAGAAGAAGTTTCTGATCTCTCTATCATTGCCAACACTGTCATGTCAACCGTACTTAGCTAGCAAACAGAGGGTAAGCATCTCTTTGCTTCGCAACCTCAATTTCTTCTGAATTTCAAACTTTGTAACCTAAATTATGACTTGAAATGTGGAATCTATCTCTTACTCTGACTGATTACCCCGCTTCCATACAATAGAATTTTGCATCTAGTGCCATATTGCTTGTTCTTGATATATGAGATCTAAGTTATTAACCCTAACCCCTGACTGCTTACTTACTTATTACCTCACTGCTTACTTCACTCCTTACTCTCCTCTTTCAAATTGAATCTATCTATTGAATCTATTTAGAATAGTGATATAGGATTGAAATTGGAATTGTAAACTGCTACTGAAGTCTTTGAATTTACTGAAGCTTTGCACTTGTTCTCGCCTTAGCACTTAGTCTTGTTTCGGGTGTTGGTGCCATTACAAAGTGCTTTCCGGTCTCCTTTCTTTCCAAACAAGAATATCTCTTTCTGATCTAAACTCTCACTGCGGACTAGACAGCTTTCCTCTAACCCGGAGACTTCTTCTGTCAACTAAGAAAGTTATTGCTCTCCCGCCTACCTATAGGAGTGGAAAGGTAATGCACTAGCAATGTTGTATAGGGCCTGCTTCTAAGACTTATACCTATACTAGATGCAGAACATCGTACCAGCTCGATGAGTTTCCTTATACTAGATGCAGAGTATCATACCGGTAGTACAGCTTCTTATTGGAAAGAGTACATGAGAAAGTCCTGTGTTAAGGTGGAAAACGGAATACTAAATTAGATGAAACTACTACCGCTCCATTGTTTTCTTTCCTGCTGAGACGATAGTGCCCCGCAACACCTCTTTCTTCTTATCCCTTAGCTACTATATACCTGTCATTGCTACATCCACACACCCGACCCTACCTCATGAAGGGAACTTTCGAAACCATTAGCAGCTGCCCCGGCAAGGTCTTGTATAACTGAATTCTTTGTGTTTTCCTACTTCAGTAGTAGCTCGGCGGGCTGTTTCAGGGTGATGCGCATATCATCTAACTATGGCTCAGTCCAATTACTTCCCTCGCATACCTCAACATAAGTCACTCACTATGAGTAATCCCAGTTTTCATACTTAATGCATAGGTTCCCCAACTCTCCAAAGAAAGCACTTGTAAATTACATCTTATAATAATCAATAATCTACTTCCCTCTCTCTCATCTACCTATGTCAACAATTCATAATGGAATCTGTATTGTCTGCTTGGCCCAGAGATATTTGTAGTTGCCGGTAAAGTAGAATGAATTCTATCTTAATAAAGGAGAAAAGACAGATGACACTCGGGGTGCCGACCTCCCCTTCTGACGGACAGCAGGAAGGAAGGTCAGAGTGAGAGTTAGTTCGGGTAGGCAAGGAACCCAGTTTTGAATCCGTATAAGTTTCCCTTATATTAAGTCGCCATAGAGGACAGGGAAACAGGCAATTACTCGTTAGTTAGGCCAAGGAAAAGAGAGGACAGAAGCTATAGGTAAGAAAGAGAATCCGCTGTTACAGCAGTTAGGTATCTCGATGTTGGTGGTGCTGTAGCTCTAGGAAAGTTTCTAGGTAGAGTTGACCGGGTTGCTAAGTCCTTGTTTCTAAGGTAATCGAATAAGGCATTACTGGTGTGTTGGCGTGAGAGGGTTATTAAAAGAAAGAAAGTGGAGGCGGGAAGGGCGGTAGTGTTACTGTTTTCAAATAGGGTACCTGGTCCAAGTATACGAGATCGGAATTGCTTTCAGTCAAGCAACTACGCCGACACTAGACAAGTCACGTATAATCCTGAGTTCACCTAATTAATAGCGTAAGTAGAACCTATTTATCGTCGACCCACCTAGTGCTCCATTCTGAAAAAGA